ACCCCCAAGTATTGATTTTGAAAAGTAAAGTATGTTTATAACTTTAATGAAACTGTAATCTACCTTAACAATCAAAAGTTATTTATAGTATATTGTGATAAAGATTTGAGAGTTTTAAAAGAGTTATAACATGATCTAATTGAAAAAAATGTCAAGTCTGTCATCCAATAACGTATAAATAGAAAACTAGTAAAGAAAAAAGACAAGATTTTATGACATAATATACAATCATTGTATTTTAATCATTCTTATGTGGCTAATACACCTTATGGATTGAAGATGTCATTTGACTACTACTTTTAGTAACACTGATTAATGAATCTCTTCAAGGTGAGATAAATGAGTAAACAAAATTCTTTATCAACTATTTTGTTATGACTATTTCTTAATCCATGATATTAATGCTTTATTTTTGACTTCTCTCATACTGTATTCCTATATTACTTATTTACAATAGTATGTTTATACTTTAGAATTTTATATCTCATAGATCATCCATAATATCAACCTTGAACATCAATAAAATCACTTGAAAATCAATTAAAACTTACTCTTATGATAAATCAATATGAAAGATAATAATGAGGGTGAATAATGTAACGTGATCAAAAGTAATAAATTAAGATTGACCTAAATTTTATTAATTTTAATAATTGGTAATTTTATACATCTTTGATCTAGAATTCCCATTTTCCTATTTTACAGTGAATTCATTGAACGAAATAGCCTTTTAAAAAATGCTAATCAGAGGACTATAATAGAATGGATAGTTTTATACTGCTCTTTTAAATATGTACTTTCCCATCTATTCACATAGCAGTTAGCCTTATAATTTAAGCTGAATATATATATATATATATATATATATATATATATATATATATATATATATATATATATATATATATATATATATATATATAGCGAACAGTGTAACCTATTATATATATACAGTAATCGTGGAAGTGAGATTATCTCTTCCTGTATACCTTAGCCTAATAATAATGATAATAATATGTTTAACTGTTCGTCTTATTTTTAAAATCGTTTTTCATTCTATTTATTTTTATCATATAAAGAAAACGCCCATTTTTAATAGGAAAACTGAATATTGAGTTCACGGGCATGTTTATCATCACATATTCGTTGAAATATATAAAAATAAATACTTTAAAACAAAACATATTATTTCCAAATGAATAAGAAGCAGTAAACAATAAGAAACCTGGATTGCATGCTTTATTCTTGATGAAATGAGGTGGAAAGCAAAAATTGTAGAAAAAATAATAAATCAATCGTTGAACATTCAATTGACCAACTGATTGGTTGATTGATTGGTACTAATGTATACAATTGAGTAGTAAAGCTTCTGTTTCAAGTCATTCATATAAGTTTTTAGACTAAACTCAAAGGTACACGCGCGTAACGTAAATATTAATAATATTTATTGAAGCTATGTGTAATGAATTAGAACCGATGACAACACTGTTGAACAATACTATTGTAAGAAGATTAAAGGTGACATACATGAAGTAAGTAATTAGAATAAATTAATAGTAATGTCTGTTAATAATATGAATCAGTCAGTTCTTTTAAACAATGATGAATATAATATCCGTTGAACAAGTTGTTTGGTTATCGTGACTCGGTACCTTAATGGACAATGAATTTGAGTTTAAAGAAATAATTACTGAGATGAGGGTATATTCAAATAATGAACCCTAAATTGAACAGAACTTACAACCAGAATTTCACTATCATTCATTCGCCAAACACTTAGTTAAATATGTTACTACCAGCAGTATATGGATGCATCATCTCACTGAGCCCATCCGAAAACTTCAATGATAACTACACTTTAATGTATGATACTCAACCAGTAAACAGACAGAAAAATGTTTGAAATTGCTGGCTACTTTACACTTAGTAAATATTGAAAGCGTTGGGTACAACTTCAGCCTGGAAATAATTGGAGAGAAAAACGTTGGCGTTGGAGTAGAGTAAATTTTTTAAAACCTGATTTTCTTTTGAGTAACTGGGAGACATTTTTTTATTTCAAGACAAGTTTTTATACAAAATAACAAAAATATGGATTTAATATTTTGTCAGTGTATATTTATTTTATGTATTAATCCTTTGTTTCTTTACATTTAAACTCATCGATTAAGCTTGGGGAGGTATTTAAAGTTATTGGTTATTACCGTTGTTGTTTAAAATAAGCCTATTCAGAATGTCTTAATGGTGGAAGTGTATACCCAAAACGCAGAAACTTAAAGTATCCTCAAGTTTTCCAATTTCTATACTAAGTTTCTGTTAGCATATGGGCTGTTTGGTTAGGTAATTCCATATGGCTTGTAGTAACATTGCCTGAGATTTGTCTGTCGTTTTAAAATGTTTAAGTAAAGTCTTGAATATTAAGATTGTAATACTACAATCCCTTACAAATAATAATATCACATCTAACGAACAAGTTATGTGGTTATTGTAACTCACTAAATCAATAAATAATGCACTTGAAGTGACGGGAACTGAGTTTGGGCCTCAACCTGGACATTAGCGATCAAACAGTAGTACATCCAGCTGATCGTATGAATGAATTAGAACAGCATTTTGCTCAAACTCAACCGAAGATCCTGATTTCGATCTTCAGTAGGTTAGTGGATACGCGCTCACGAGGAGTCGCATACTAAGATGAAATAGTTCTTTAGTGCCTCCCGGTTTTCAATAGTTGTCTTATTAAAATCAGTCCTTGATGTAAACTATTTTATCATACTTTAGTATTCCACAGTAACGTACATTCAAGGTTTATTGTGTATTTTTATTTTTAGTAATTATTTGATTGACGATATCATTTTATGATGAAAACTGTCTCCAAACTAGAATCATAGCTACCTTGAAAAATAACTGTTAAATTTTATCTTGATAAACACTTGGTATTTTTATTCTGCACCATATTTTGAAAGTGCATAAATCAATTAACATCACACAATTTACTGTATGATTAAATGTTTTATTTTTTTCTGTTGATCGGCTAAATCAACGTGAGACCTGGCACAAATATACATCGATTCAAATTACTAAATTATACTACCACACGAATAAAAAGTCAAGAAGATTGAAAGTAAAGTAGTCGAAGTAACAGTAATGTTTGTAATTACGAAAGTGAATTATCACAGCGAAAAATAATTTGAAAAAAGGAGGAATGGATTTATCAAATAAAATGCATGAAATAATTATGGATTTTGGGATCTTCAACCGATTAAAAACTATGTCATCCAACATCATCAGACACCAATTACCCTTATGACGTAAACTCCAACCATCAGGTCCTCACTTACCCATATTGATTAGATTAGTTTAACGATCAGTTATTATGATACAATGACTTAGTATGGTCAATCCTAACTTAAAGGAAGATTAAATGTTCTAATATGCTATGATTTTGATGTAACTAAACATATTCTGGATTAGAAACTATTATAGAATAAACAGTATGAAAATCTAAAAGTATTTGAAAACCATTATATTCCACTTTGATGATAGACCGCTTAAGTTTTATCGGAATATTTTGGCTTTTCTATCGGTATAATTAGTGCTTTAAGACGATAATTAAGATAGATAACACCAAAAGATAAACTCGGTCAGTTTATGAGTTGATCAGTATTAGCAATGTCAACTATTAGGAACTAGGATAATTATTTTATATACAGTTTAATTGGTATGATATAATTTTAAGTTTTTAGGTTCAACAGTGACTTGTTGTTTAGAACAATCGACTTTAAGACACTGAATCACCGGTTTTAAATTCTAACTAGTTCATCCACTTCAGTTTGGTAAAGTGGATAGTATCAATGTTTTCACATTGGATAATATCACTTAAAACTCAGTAAACAGCCATGTACCGGATATGTGGATTACACTTGAAAAAAAGTTGATCTCCACACCGGATATCAATGAGAAATCCCAGGTTTAATATTACCTTACTTCAAAATTAGTATTTTCACAGATTGAATTCATGAGTCAGTTGAAGCTAGACCACCATGAAAAACTTGGAAGCACTGAACGGCCGTTTCATCCTAGTATGGGACTCCTCAGCAGTGCGCATCCACGATCCCATCCCGTGAGAGTCGAACCCAGTACCTAACAGTCTCACGCGCGAACGCCTAACCTTTAGACTACTAAGCAACAATCAACTTCATATTTCTAGAAAATTTTTCAAAACCAGTCAAATGTTGAAATATTTTCTTGTTGTATAAAGCCAAACTTTGAAGGTGATGAAAATAAACAGAAAATAAGCTTAGCATTATTATGAAAAATCGAGTATTAGAATCAAACATTCAATGGAGTTGCTATTTTGTTTTATTATTGAAAACAATTTAATAAACGCATAGAAAAAAATCCATTTTAATAAAATGTAACTGATATGATGAAATTTTATTGCTAAATATATACTTACATTTTGTGAATATTATATTCGCTAAGTTCTATTATTGATCTATAAATCTTCCATCGCCTTCTGAACTGGTAATTACCAGTATAGACGTTAAGAAAGCATGTGAGTTATCAAGACCTTTTCCACATGTTTCTTAAAAGATTCAACCAATAACCTGGGACATGATTGGTCGTTCATAATAGATCAGATATTAATACCTTTGTCCATCATTGCATTGGTTATTTTGTTGACCTGACCTTGTAATTATTTATTGTTCATCTCATTGGCTAGTGAATAGGACTTATGTCAGTAAACAACTAAAAATTACCTTAACTCCTACGCTAGAATATCAATTGAAGATGGATTTAAATGTAGTTCTCAATCGGAGTGGAAATATCAAATTTCAAGTTACTAATTTGTAAACCAACTCCTCCTGTAGGTGTTCTAGGGTTACTGTCGGTCCCAAGCCCACCTAAAGGAAGAGGGTTGGATATGTGGTTGGTAAACCCATCTCGTAGAAAACAACCTTGCTGAAAAAAGGTTAACCATAATAAACAATTTAACCCACCTGAACTCTGCACTAGAAGTTGAATGATCATCATTCAGAAGAATTATGACGTCTTGTAGTGAAGCCGAGTTACTTCAGAATTCATGAGGTGAATGCCCATTGTAACAACTAGAGCAACAATTAATATAAGTACATGGAATGTTTGGACAATGTGTGAAACCGGGAGGTCCAACCAAGTAGCTATGGAAATAAGGAGATACAACTCGGAATCAACGAAACCCATTGGACCAAAGCTGAACAGAAAAGATTATATCCGAGTGAGATGATGTTGTACTCTGATCATGAAGAGGAAAATGCTTCGCACACTCAGGAGTTATTCCGATGCTATCCAAAGAAGCACGTAAAACATTTATAGAATGGAAATCTCATGGGTCCATGATCATCAAAGTATCCTTCAAAACAAAAAAGTAGTGAGTCACAATGAATGTTATCCAATTTGATGCACTAACCAATGATAGCAACGACGACAATAAAGATCATTTCTATGAGAGGCTACAATCAATCATCGCGAAGTGTACAAGAAAGGACCTCACCATTCTGATGAGAGATCTAAACGCCAAAGTCGGAATTGACAACACCGGATATGAAGATATCATGGAACGACAGGAACTGACTGAAAGAAACGAACGAGAATGGTGACAGGTTTGCAATTTTATGTAGATTCAAAAAAATGGTTATCGGCGGCACAACATTACCACACAAACCCATGCACAAAGCTACATGTGTCTCACTGGATCACACCACGAAGAGCTAAATTGATCATATTCGCATCACTAAAAAAATCAGAAGATCAATGGAAGGCGCAAGCAAGTGAAAAAAAAGCATTAAGGCCGATAAGCAGAAATAAGTGGAAGAACCAATAGTTGCAAACGCGCTCCATGTCCTTCTCTGGGAGATTTAAGAGGAAGAACAAGTGTCACAGACAGACTAGAAAGAAGGATACCTCATCAAGCTATCGAAGAAAGGAGACCTGAGAAAATGTGTGAACTATAGAGGGATCACACTAATTTCAGTACCAGGAAACGTTTTCAATAGAGCGTTGCTGAACCGGATGAAAGACTCAGTAGACGCTCAACTTCGAGATCAACAGGCTGGATTCCGTAGGGATCGGTCGTGCACAAATCAAATCGCAACACTACGGTTCATCGTCGAACAATCAGTTAAATAGAAATTGTCATTATAAATCAACTTCATTGACCATGAGAAGGGGTTTGACAGTGTGGACAAGGGAAACTTCTTCGACAATATGGAGTTCCTTAGACGATTGTCAACATCATCCGGAACTCATATGACGGACTACATTGCGAAGTCGTGCATGGAAGATAGCTGACAGGTTCATTCCAAGTAAGGAGTGGAGTGAGACAAGACCGTCTACTCTACCCCTTCCTCTTTCCTCGGGTGGTTGACTTGATTATGAAGACCTCGACATCTCAAAGGGAAGCACAGAATACAATTGGCAGCTTGCATGCAACTAGACTATTTGGACTTCGAAGATGACCTACGCCTCTTATCCCATACACACACATCAACAAATTCACATGAAGACAACTAGCGTAGTAGCAGTCTCTGTATCAATAAGCCTCAACATACACAAGACAGAAAGCAACATCATCAAATACAACACAGAGAACATCAACTCAATCACAATTGATGGGGAAACTCTAGAACAGGCGGAAACTCCCACGTACTTGAACAGCAGCGTTATCGATGAACAAGGAGGATCTGATGCAGACCTAAAGGCGAGGATTAGAAAACCAAGAGCCACATTCCTACTATTGAAGAACATATGGAACTCAAAACAACTCAACCAATATCAAAGTCACAATCTTCAATACCAACGTCAAGACAGTCCTACTATACGGAGCTGAAACGTAGAGAACTACTACAACCATCATCCAGAAGGTACAAGTATTTATAAATAGTTGTCTACGCAAGATACTCAACATCCATTGTCCGGATACCATCAGTAACAACCTTCTGTGGGAGACGACAAACCAGCTTCAATCTGAAGAAGTAATTAGGAAAAGACTTTGAGGTGGATAGAAAATGCATTGTCGAAATAGTCAAATTGCGTCACAAAGTAAACACTAACTTGGAGTTCTGAAGGGAAACGGAAAAGAGGAAGGCCAAAGAACACAGCGTAGAGAATAGGATGCAGATATGAAAAGAGTGAATAACAAGTGGAAAGGATTGCCCAGGACAGGCATTGATAGACAGTACTGGTTGTCGGCCCATGCTCCTCCACGAGGAGTAACAGGGGTAAGGAAGCAAGATTGTGACCCAGTAATGTATTTTATTTCATATCATTTTTTATTTTAAATGACAACAAAGTTAAAAGTCACAACCTCGTTAAGCGTTTCTTTTCTAAAATTAATTACTAGATAAACGAATTGTTCACATTCAATTTTAATCATCCTTTAATCTCCTTCACAAAGTAAATCAGACAAGAATGATAAATTACAGCAACGACAGAGTTCATAACTAAAGGAATTTACATGGTATGTATCAGCTACCCCAATAACATATGATAAAAAGTACGGCTGGATGACCTTGGAATCATATGATTTCAAATAGATTATAATAAGATTACAACCCGTTTCACGGTATATTGGCAATAAATGAACAAGTAAATAATTCAAGAACCGAATAATTTTAACATCTATTCATTTACATTTTCTTCTGATCGTTTGTCATTACCAGTCTTGCAATCAGTTATTTCATACACTCTCGTTCACACTGAATTGGTTGAATAAATATCAAATTATTCATATTTTACTATCCATATAAATATTTCTTCATAGATGAGTGATTTCCTAGTTGCCAAAAAAATCTTATTAAAGTTTATCATAGTTTACAAACACCTAGTCAATAATACAACCAGTGATGTACTTGATACCAAATCAAGTGATTTTGATAAATTAATCAGTTCAATGGATGGCAGGAACAACTTGGAATTAGTTTGATTGGTTGAGTGCTGTCTCAGTGGTTTAGAGGTTGAGCGTTCGCGAGTAATGCCGAAGCCCCTTGGTCCGAGTTCCATGAGGAGTCCCATACTAAGACAAAAAGGTTGTATAGTGCTTCCAAGTTGTCAATAGTTGTCTAATATAGATCGGTTCATAGTTTCAATGATATTCAATGGTCTTCCCTACCCTATTTGAAAATGTGAATGGTATTCATTTTTTGTACAACTCAATAGTATCTTGCACATATAGCATGATATATATTTGAAAGAATGACAGAAATCAGAAATACGCCAAACTGAACACTATCCCTAAGTAAATTAGATCAAAACTCTGGAGTTTAATGATGAAGTTTTTGAAGACAATTGTTCACCCAAACATTGTTTTTGAACACTATAGTGATTTTGAAATTATTAAACCTGATCAAACTCGACTAATAATTTCATTCAGCAATAATTTGATAACATCATGTAATAAACAATGACTAAAATTTAAAGGCATTCGCTTATTCCTAAATAAGTACAAATGAAAAGCATCGTAGAGATAACTGTATATCTTCGCACGAAGTTTTGTCGTTTGGATGTCTAGTAAGAATGGTTAATCTCAGGATCTATGACTTAGTTTGTTTTCTGCAGTTTCATGCAGATCATAAACTATTTTCGAAAAGCACTGAATTCCATCACACTCATTATCTGTTTATTACCTTACATCGCTCCTCTGTAACACAATAATTGAAACAAATAGGAAATATTCAATTAAGCTAATAATGGTCCGGATGTAAACAGAACTGTTAGTTCTTTTCGAGTTAATTAACCGAATTCCTATCACGCTCTGATATATCCTGAAATCGTTCTTTTATCAGGGCCGATTGATTTCGATGGATCCAAGAAATCTTACTCTATCTTGCATTAGAACGAAATACTGAATCAAGCTGGAGTCAAGATGTATGTAAGCATTTAATGCAATTACAACTTCGTTTAACTTAGTGCATTGTGAAAATAACAACACTCGTAAGTTTTCAAAGAAGAAAGTCTCACAATGTATAATCATGAACCACGAAATGTGGTGGTCGTAGTTATCTGATGAGATAAGAGTAGAAGCTTCATACAATAACCATTATAAGCTGTTCAGCCTCATCTGGTCCGTTACCAGTAGTAAACCTATTATCAAATAACCAGTCTGTGAGGTTTAGAACATATTAACTGGTGATTTTAAAAGCTACTTGAAACTCACAGTGGAGCAGTTTGAAAACGTTTCAGCTGGTTTATTGATCCAGAAACTCCAAGCGCATCGCCATGTGACTCATGGTTGGTGAACAGTAATCAATCTAACGTAACAGATATCTAAAGGTTCTCAAACCCTAAGATTTTGCAAGATGTTCTGTCCAGACAATTCACCTAGGTACTCCCCAGAAATAGAGAACTAAATGAGAACTTAGGAAAAAACTGATATCGTTTTATCGCTTTGGTTGGGAAGTTTGAGTATCTCTTCATTTGTGAGGGTGCTGGTTGTGTTTTGAAATACGAAATTAATCTAAGTATGGTGCCAGCTAGAATGACTCATAAGAGTCTGAACCACCTTCGGCCTTGTGTAATTTAATTTTGATCATAAAAGCCGAAGTTTTATGTGTGACTGATTTTGTCCAATCTTTAAGAGAACTGGCTTCTCAGAGTTGAGAACGATCCATGAATTCAAACTCAGCTGGGCATAATTCATTCCGGGTAACCACTAAGTATCACGTTCACAAAAATCATCTGAAGCCTGAGTACATAAATCTACACTTCGTTAATAAGGCGAAATTATTCTTTGTTCGCGGAATTAATTGTAAACAGTGATAATGTTGAGTACGTGATACTGGGTTTCGGTAACGAGGGGAATGATAGATAGTTTATGATGTAAAACTGAGAAACTGAAGTTCCCCTTTTGGGTTAATATCTATTTGCACGCTATTTTATGGATTAAATCTTATAGGTTATGTAACTGCAGTGTATAAAATTGTCCTAGTTATGACGTATAATAGAAATCAATGACAAACCTATTGTCTTTTGCTTTAGTGGCTTTCAATGAATAAAATTTAGGCGCTTAAAATGAAGGAGATTTCTGGTGTTTTCATTCATATTAGAACTGTATCCACAAATGTTGATTATTACCACTTTTTTTTCGTATTTCCTATAGATTATTCCTTCATCTAAGCATTATTTTGTTTTGTAAGTGAAAATTCTCTGTCATGCATTTGTATCAAGCAAATTCTGTATAATGGATAAAGAAGGATATTTTGATAAGTCAATTGATGCTACATCGTAAATCAAATTACTTAACAGTACGAAGAATGAATTGAGATTATAAATAATTCTTTTGTGTATTTGTGTGTGTGGTCAGTTGAAAGAGGATTGAAAATTCACATAGATTATAATTCAGTGACTAACTCGACAATAAAAAGAATCCAACTTTATATTTATCAATAATTCATACATAAGAATGATACTCATATAATTAGATAATACACATTCATAAAGCATAGGAGCGACCTAGATTTTACAGATCCAGCACACCAATGACTGTAGCAAACATAATATCAAAGTGTAAAACTGCAAACAACAAAAAAGTTTCATAAAATCTACCTTGAAAAAATCACCATCCTAATATGTGACATCTAAATTTAATCAAAATCCACCCTGTCAAATAAATAAATAAATTCTTTCAAAATGTTAATAAATAAAAATAAAAATTTGCTAAGCGGAAGGTGAAAGAAAGGATATAAAAGACATTATATATATATAAAACCGCCTACTTGTTGGTGATTTTGTGATGTATCCAAATTTTTTGAAATATTTTGACCCGTTGTATCACTCAACTTTGATGGTATTGACAAAGAATATTTTCTTGTTGATGATGGTTTATTACTAGAATGTTTATGTATAAAAAAGGATAATTTATTTGAATGACTAGTATGTTTTTTTGAATTCATGTCCAAATGTAATTCTTGTGCTCTTTTCAATGTCTCTATTACTACTGGATCAGTAGAGATGTAACTTGTTGAAGGACTTTTCAATTTCATTCTGTAATCTTTCTAATTATTGATTTTATCATATATATATATATATATATATACTTTTTTTTCCTTATCTTGAATATATTTGTAAGAAACAAAAAAGAGACACAATTTGTAGTTTGTAGTATTTTGTTTTAAATCAGTAACGTTTGTAGTTACAAATAACCATTAAATTTCGTAAATAAGCATATCATTATTAATAATGACCATTTTCATCATATTACATTACACATATGTATGTATATTTGGTAACAAATTCAAATCAACTATTTGTTATAAATCATTCATTTATGATTCTGATTCTGATTTGCTTTTCTAATGTTTCATTAGTCTATATGTTGTTTCTTTTTCAATATTAAAATAGTAAGAATTGAACTCAATATTCAAATTTATTATCCATTCTTAGCCAATAAGAATTCGCTATGATCACATGATAACAGCTTATATAACAATTCAACCAATCATAGTGCAGCTATTTCAACTTGGATACTAGGTAAAAATCTAAATAAATACCATGTAAGAATATTAAATGATATTATGATTTAAATGTTTATCACTAAACTTAATTAGAGATTGCCTATTGTTATTATATTTTGTTCATCATAAATGTATTTCAAAGGTGATATTAACAATCTGTTGATGTTAATGCAGTGAAAATGTTTTCCTTTAAAAGATTGATTTCTAATTCATGATATTGTAAATTGGTGGTACTTTGGAACGTTAAGCCTTTTGTAGAACTATCTGAAAACATAAATAATCGTCTTTCTTCTATTCCACAAGTATTGATTCGGTGCATACATGAGGGAAGGTCTGTATCCACGATTAAAGATGCTTCATTGTTAATTGTTGAGATTCATAATAATGTTGTACAAATAAACACATATAACAGTCAGGTAATATATAGTTAGGCAGTTCTCTAATCTCTATAGTCGGATAGTTTTTGAAACATGATCGGCTGGATCTAAGCTCTTCTTCAATAACAGTGACATTACTTTCGTTACCATATTAATTTTCTTATTTTCTAACGATGAATTTTGGAAATCTACTAGTGTAATAAAAAAAGCACTAATTATTTACTGAGTTCCCAGGCTTATATGTTTTGTTCTAATTAATGAATTGCTCAAACATTCTACCTTCAACCAGTAGAACAATGAGTTAACATTTGGTCTGTCAACCTGAATTTTATCGGATGAACAATATGTCTAATAAACAAAAATGTACGTTACTACCTAGTTCTTTTCATCATCTGTAGTATATATTTGTCTTCTGGTCAAATTTGACTGTTCTATTCAATTAGATGTAGATACGCCTGAAATCAATAAAAATTTATTTTAGATTGAAGTACAATTGCATCATACTAATGAAAAAAAAACAGGATCTCGGTTAATATCTTTATACTACCTGAACTTACTTGGTGATCATCTAAACCTAATAACATACTAAATAACAACTTGAAGTCCCAAGTGATAGGTACTGGAGTCAATTCTATGTGTGCATGTGAACGTCGAAATTGAACTGCATATATATTCAGCTGACAGACTTAGAATAGAATCAAAACATGCATATTGGATACAGTGCTAGCTACAATCCAAAAAAGATATTTGTTTTGATAAAAAAACTTAATCGATAACTACAATAGACATCGGTACTTAAAAATTAATGTAAAATGACACTATTTAATTAAAGAGTGGGATTTTAAATCCCCTCAAAAGACCTTAACTCGCATCAACGTTTAGCTTAATGTTGTTTAGTAAATCTATGTATGATGATTAGGAGTATTTGAATTATAGTACAAATTAAGAATCCCAGAAATAACACAAATGGATCAAGAAGTACTAGATAACCACAAACGAATGTACTGTATTTGAAATTCGTAATCAAACATTCAACAAGTACAAAGGAATCATTAGTTAATTCAAACACCATACTATGTTTATAAATAAGCTTAAAGATAAGTTCACTCATCTGACTACTTCAATATGCATAAATCAATTCATTTGCTTCTGTAAAGCTAGGAACATTGATGGTTAAAAGCATATTCTTTCTACGAGTGTTCAAGAATGTAATACTGGATAGTTGAAAAGCGCTAGTACTGGATTAGTAAGAAAGTCAATCATTACATATCATATCAACACAGACTATTTGATTAAAAAAAGGCTCATCAATCAATGTTTACTACATAAAGACCTAAACATGGTGTACTTCCGTCTTCTTTGAGTTGATAAAGCCTTAATCATACAGTTAGAGAAGCTAGAGCTATGTACACAGAAACCACTAATTTTTTTCAGAATTATCACTTTCCCTCCTACTATATTAATTCTTTACCTTTTATTTATTCTCCTTTTCATGCTCTTTCCGAATACAATTCATTCTCAAGAAATCTTATCATATAAAGCACTTCTTTTAATCTCGTTTCTGTAATGTCCTTTATCAATATTCAAGTTCTTAACTACTATAATTTCAATATCATGACTGGAATAACACTTTTCAGCTTTTGTTTATTTAGCTTCATTATTACTATGTTTTATAAATAATTATTAATGAGTAAGTTATATAGTAATCTTGTTGACAAAAGTATATATGTACGATTGTGAAAAATTGCGAATTCATTCACCGGTCAGTGATATCATCACTGATAGATTGTTTCTTGTTATACCCCTTAATGAGTGTTTTTTATTGTTTAAGAACTGTGAGGACCCTACGAGAGTAAAAGGCCCTTATAAAGTTTTTTTTTCAGGTTTGATGAGGAAAAAATAAGAGTAAGCTTACTTACGGATTGGATAAAGTCACGTGAATATTCATGATGGTAACGGAAAAAACTTCATAGGTATCATACACAAAACGGTGTTGACTTTATGCACTCGTGTATCATAGAACTTAACCAAAGCATATCGCTAAGATCTCCAGTGTTATACTATTCATTACGGAGTGGAGGTAACAGTTTACTGAATATGACGCGACAATTATTTGTAACTGTTCTTGATCTTTACTCTTAAATCCTACTGAAAGCCATAAGAACTCAATACCAATTTCCAAATAACATTGAGAGTTATGTTTTCAATCATTCATTTATAAACTTTACGACAAGAGACTATCTGCAAAGAAGCCCTACAGTGTTAATCAAAAATATCCACAGTCGATTGATTGGATTCGACCAGCATTAGGATCAAGAAAGCATATCACATGGTGTCTTTTAGTGACGAATTAGTACAAAATGACAATGAACATATTGAGATGGTGGAAAAGATTTGCATCTCAGGTGGATGATTTTGATGGAGTTTTGTTCTCTGAGCTGGATGGTTTGGTCGTGGAGCTTTCATTGTTATTATGAACGACATCATCAGCATAAACTTCAGACGCAAGAACACTTCACTTCTACCTGAAGTTTGTGCTGATGATGTCGTTCATAATAACAATGAAAGCTCCACAACCAAACCATCCAGCTCAGAGAACAAAACTCCATCAAGATGGACATTTTAACAAGAAAGTTTATGACCACTGATTGGTGTATTAATTAAATGCACAATTTTTACAATTCATCGATTCAGTTGCGTTTTTTCTTACGTACATTAGTATTTAATTCATGCTTTAATTTATGCCAAATAAATTAACACATTTCAGACAGTGTTTTGTTTACTGCTAAACAGGAAGTACTTTTTCTATTCTACAAGCAAAACAACAGTAAAATGAATATACAAATATGGATAACAGCTTTTGAATAATATTTTAAACTTTTCATTAAAATCAAGCGCAGATGCAAAAGATTTATGCAATCAATTAACCTTAAGCTATATCGCGTAATTCTTGAATAATCTTGAACTTGAAATTTATCATTCCCATCAAACTAATTTCAATGTTATCTCAATGTTTTAAAATTTATATGCCTTGAACCCTTGATAGCTAATTATGCAGGAATAAATTGTGCCAGTATATTCATCTTTTTTGATGTCCAAAATAGGTGCAATATCTAGCATTTTTGAGCATTTTTCCGTTTACTTAGAGGATCGGCTCTGTATATAAGAACATTATTTTTACAGATTTCATTTCAACCATATAAAGCCCTTTACATATGTACACTAACTACAAGTCACTTTATATATATATATATATTATTCCAATCAACCCGTCAGTTAACATGTAAATTAATAATCACGGTAATTCCCATCACAAACTACTTCACTAGTACGGATAAATCACCGTAGTACTAATCACTTTAGGTAAACAATGAAGCATTACAAAGTGATAGTTTGTTCAATAATCAAAACCACGTACATTAAAAGTCAACTTGAAACTCAACAAAAAGGAATATATTACTCAAGATCTATGCTACATATCACTCGTGTATTCAAAGTTTCTTCAACAAGATGTCCTTGACATTGCACAAAATCACAGAAATCACTCCTTTAGTTTCACGTTTCTTAAAATGAACATTTCAGAAATAACAATTCATATGAGCACAAAACTAGTCTCCTATCAATTCTTGTATCACTATAGTATACAGCTTAACCTTACAGTATAGGAAATAAATCTGACTCCTTTTAGTGTTTAAAACAACTTAATTTCAACTATTTGTTTAGTCTCTTGTCCATGTTAACTTTCTAAAACTTGACTATTAAATGAGATCATCTACTTATCTCAACATTATCGGCAGAAGTAATATTTCCAACATAGTTCTGATCCCAACGTAATTTTAATTGGCTGATCGAATTCAATAGGATATAATCTGCCTGACAACTTAGTTTTTTTTTAAAAAAAATAGTTTATCCACTGAAAATTTAGAAGAAAAAAAAACTATTTTGTTTTCATAAACAGTTCGTCACTATCATAATTTTAAAAGGATCAACGATTCACTTGCAACATATACGTAATTCTTTTTTTCCGTTTTCATTTTATGAATAATGAATATTCAATTTGATCTTAATTTATACAAACTTTATTCACATTGTAGATTACACTTTTGATTTATTGAAGTTTCAAAATTGTTTCTCTTTCTTTTTTTTCTCACT